GCCTCCCTATGCGTTGGCCAAGATGATCGAGGCCAAGTATGTATGTATTCTCCCTCCTTAAAACTGGTGGGGCCCAGATATGAAATTGGTGAAAGTACTCTAGCATTCAGAATACATGCTTGTCCCTTTAATGAATGTATGGCTGTACATTGCTGCAAATGCAGAATAAGCCGGACATTCCATACAGGTTGGGATATTTAAGGTTCAGTCATCATTGTCCCTGGGCAGTATGTGCTGTTTCTTTAGCATTGGATGTTTTTTTGATTAATCCTCCTCTGTTCGTATTCTGGAAACAAATGTTTGGGTTTATTTTTTTTATTTTTTTAATGGTAATCAAGCTGAGATATTTCCTTCACTGTTCATCCCTCTAGATTGAAGATGTGCTGAAGAAGTTTGCAAGTCTTGAAAAGCTGGAGGAGAACTCGTGGCAACAAAACAAAGTCCAGACCCAAAAAATTCTAAAAGTACGTAATCATTGTAACCTCTACCCAGCTCTGCATGAATTAGAATTGTACGTCTCCAAATACCATTTGCAATCTCGTAAACCACAATCTATTTTATTTTTTATTTTTTTTATTTTAGAAGAAAATTGTCCCAGCTTCGTCAGTTAAGGAAAGTCAAGGTGACAACGGGAGGTCTGCAGCTCGGAGTCGTTTGGCTGCTATCAAAGCCGCCATGAAAAACAAATTGAAATCCGTGGAGCCCATTCCGGAGGAGTTACCTTCAGAACTACCCACACAAGTGGATCAGGTGGTTTTTGACGCAGGATTCTTCCGCGTTGAGAGCCCAGCAAAACTGCCTAACGGTTGGTAGATCCATCATTCCCATTTTTCTCATGTTTGGCTTTTATTTTATTTTTTTATACTCTGCTTTATTGCATGTAGAATTGAAAATATAGCTAAAGGAGGGGTTTATGATAATCCTATTTTTAAGAGGTGTGATTTTTATTTTAATCTTTTTCTACTTCAGATGCAAGAGCAAGCCGCAGGTCATTCCAGACATCCGCTACACCGAAGACTGCTATAAATCCTCTTTTAAAAAGCTCATCCGAGAATGACGCAACATTGCAATGTGGTGGTCAATCTCAAGTCGGAAAAGTGCTTTTTGAAAATGCTGTGGAAGTTGGGTAATTGTGGCATATTGTATTATTATACCAGTTGTATCCGTTATACAATATATTAGTGGTTCTCAACCAGGTCCTGGAAGCACACCTGTGGTGCAGGATTTAATGCGGGTACTCTGAACCTGCACTGGGAATCCCTGCTAGAACCAGTAACTTTCGTTATCCAATCTAACCTAGATATATTGATTTAGATATTGTCCCCAGAAGATGAGATTATTTGCCCTTACAGCTATTCAGTATTTTCTAAAAATGTTTTATTTTTTTTAACTGCTTAAAAGTTGAATAGTCTGTGTTTCAAAGTGCATATTGTGGTGGAACATTCCAATCCACATAACGTTCACAGTGCGCTGGATTGTACTGGCGCCCCTCCATTGTAAGAAGTCGAACCATTTTTAGAACATCTGCTCATCACCACCATTTCTGCTCGGTGAGAGCCACAAGCTCCTCAGATCCCAAATCTGATCAGTGGGGAATTTTGTAAGGTCATGTAGCTCTTAACCAGAATTCGTTAATTACAGGAGGTCTACTGTACCGTTTAGAAACTTAACTGGGATTGTAGTCAAACCTTACTTGGACAACTTGAAACGTTCTTTAACTTTTTTTATTTTTGTTCTTTCTGCAGTGTGGCACAACCTGAAAAATCTGAAGTAAATCTTGTAAAATGTTTGGTTCCATCAGAGGCTTGCTTTTTAGAATGTGGTCAATCAACTAGTTCTGAGGACACAACGCCTTTAAATTGCAGGCAACGTGAGACGTACTTGGCTCCAATTCTCATGTACTCTCCAATAGAAGATGAGGTCTTCACCCCAAAACAAAATGTATCTTCTGTTTTATTGGCAAAGCCATTACCTGAAGGTTTGTCTGCTTTCAATACACTTTAACACTGGAGAGTAAAAGGTTTACAATAACATGTAACAGGTGAATTTATTTACATAATGCATTACTTGTCTACTACTCTTTAACAGTATAGTAAGGGGTAGCATTTAAAATCTATAGATATTTGCTAGATTTGACTAGAACTTTGGTGTCTAAATTTGATCTATTTTTTATTTTTATTATTTTTTTATTCTAGAATGCAAGACTGATGAAACATTTGACTTCCTGGTAAGCTGCAGTCATTGAAATTGGTAGAAATCAGCTGTAAGATTTTTGGGTATTTTTCTGTGTATTATAAACCCACCTTATTACTGTAATAAAGGATTTTAAACATATATGAAATATTTGGAAATAAAGTCCTGTTCAAAAAATAAATCTAGCAAAACCGTCTGTTACTAAAATAGAACAGTACCAGTAATTCTCTGGAATCCTCTAAAAAGGAACCTTTTCCATTGAGTACCCAGTCCTGTAAAACTTTTATATAAGCTAGATTCAGGGATATTGTGGGAGAGGTCTAACCAACCTGTCTTAATTATGCTAACTCTCTAAGTTGATAAATTCTATATTTATTTTTTTTTCTCTTACTAGGACAACTGTAAACTGACCAGTAGAGGATCAAACTATTGGTCCGTCAGTCTTGCTCACATAAATTAAATTTTTATTTTATTTTTTTCCATGTGTATGTTGATCTCCTACTGAAAGCAAGCTGCCCTCATACAATGTGGATAAACATGTCTTAGAAGAAAAAGTTTAGGCAAATCAGGACATGTTGATAATGCTGTACGGACAGCCACATCTTTCAGGAACGACTGTTCTAGGCTTTAAAGGGTTACTCCAAAGTGGTCATGGTGGCTGGAGTTTGTATGCGCAGTGTTTCTGCTTTGAAACACTGAATACATCTATAATGCTGCTATACAAATATGAATTGTCTGAGCACCTTAGAAGACAAAGTGGGCGAATATGCTAGTGACCTCTCATGATTCGTAGGGTTAGAAAGAACTGGCAGGGCACTAACCATAGTGAGACTCTAGGTAGAGAAGATCTATGGATGTCTGCAGTGGTCCCCTGCTTATGTCTTTTTGTCCCTTATTTTGTTACAAAGCACATCTGAGAACTGCAGCCCACTGATAGATTTTTGGTTATTACACATGGTCTAGTTTTGAGAGTTCCTCTTTCTATTAAAAGGTCTTTTTAATTCTGCTTAGTGGAGGGTCTTTTTATTGTCTTACAAGATTGGATATTGGTCCCCATATACTCGGATGCCTTACTGTCGGCGTATCCAGCAGGTTGGTTTAATTGGGTATGAGTTTCCACCTGTCCCAATTCAAATAAACCAAAATCTGTCCACTGTACCCAAACCATAAAAAAAAAAAATTAACTACAAAAATGGTTAAATTCACTACTGAAGTTCTTTGACTGAAAATGTAAAGCAAAATTGCTTTGCAGGCAGGTAAATGTTTCCATTAAATGCTACAGGCTAGTAATACTAGCTCCAGTATAAATGTGAGTATTTAGGGCTAGACTTCATACTGCAAAACCCGATTCTGGGATTGGAGAGGTTAGAATGGAAACTCACCAACTGCATCAAGGCACACCTCTTGGGTTTCTGTGTTAACCAACTGCCAATGTTACCTACCACTGTTTGCGTTGATGCAGCAGGTGACCATAAACTTTAATTGCCATTAGTACTAAATGATATTTCATTTTCACCCTAATCCTTGTGCACACTTGGTTACTACTGGACGGTTATCAGTTTTTCAATAACTGTCTCTGTTCACAGGTGCACCATGCTCCATTGAAGTTCGACGCGGTTCCCAGTGACCTGATAGTGTTTTCTCCGCTTCAAAACTGAAGAGTTGCTGTTGGTGCATGAGATTTGTACAGAGCTTTGTTTTTATAGAAAATATGGACTTGTTACATTTTTATAGCTTTTAACCCCCTTGACATTAACTTTTACATTTCTTCCTAAGTGAAACTGGTCACTAAATGTGTTAATACAGTTTGGAGCAAGACTTGTGTATCTTGCCAACTGCGTGCTGTTATATTTTGCTTACGGACGATATCCAGACAATAGCCTGGTGACTAGTTCTTTTAAGGTAGATTCACATTTAGTTATTACCTGTTCTATAGGAGTGCTTTAGGGGTCTTAAACTTTACAAACAGAAAACCGTTAAAAGCCAAACAATGTCTGGATAGTGTTTGTCTATTGACTCATGTATAAAGATGACCTTGTATTGTATACCCTGTATTATACACAAACATTGCTACATTTACCCTGATAAACTACTTGGATGCAGACAAGTTCTATTATTTCATAGGATTCTATAGAATGGGGATTTGGCCAATGTTGAACCCCCTCCTAATTAAAATGTATTGATATTCACTCTGACAAGGCAGAAATCTAAGTATCGTGTTGTTGGTAAAAGTGGAACTTAAAGGATCACTATAGGGTCAGTAACATACATGTATTCCTGACCCTATAGTGTTAAAGCCACCATCTGGCCCCCTCATGCCTCCATAAATATAGTAAAAAAAGTGTCATACTGTATTCAAGCCTGAAGCTGTAACAGCTGCATGCTGTTAGACTCAGAAAAACAAACAGTCTGCTGACATCATCAGAAGTGGTAGCCTGATCCAATCACAATGCTTCCCCATAGGATTGGCTGAGACTGACAAAGAGGCAGATCAGGGGCAGAGCCAGCATGATTCAAACACAGCCCTGGCCAATCAGCATCTCCTCATAGAGATGAATTGAATCAATGAAAGTTCAGTGTCTGCATGCAGAGGGAGGAGATACTGAATGTTTGGATGCATTTTAGGCAGCCATGACCCAGGAAGGATCTCTAATCACTGAGGAGTGGCCAGTGAAGTTATCACTAGGCTGTAATCTAAACACATCTTATTTGAAAAGACAATGTTTACAGCAAAAAGCCTGAAGGTAATGATTCTACTCACCAGAACAAATTCAATAAGCTGTAGTTCTGGTGACTAGTGTCCCTTTAAAAGGAAAAACCATTAAGTATGCAATGTTTTAACCCTTTGTAATTCTAATTGAAGTTTTTTTGAAAATTAAGATCCTGAATACATGCAACAATGGTGCTGGGGTATAAGGCAAAAAGCAGGATGTAATTCAGGCTATATGGAACAGATCTGATCATCTGTAGTGATGAACCATGCTCCAACATGGAGAAACGAGAGAGGCTCCTTTTATTTCTCATTTAGTTACGGTTGGACATTTTGCCCACTAGATGGCACTATAAAATGAGTGAGGATCCAGCTCAAATCACAGGAGACAATCAGGATTTGTCACTAAAGTGAGAAGATCTTATAAGATTATATAATATATAAAAACACTGAAACTTGAAGCCTTCAGCTTTTCCTTCCATTTTGGCTACTTTGTATTTCACCCCAGCTGACCCCATATGGACTTTTCACCAAGTTACCAAACTTGCTACATTTTGCAATTCAGTAAGATTGCCAGTTTGGGCTAAAAGGTATTTTAGTTTTTCCCAAATTAAATTTTTTTTGACAGTTCATTTAAGGCGTAGAGCAAAACTCCACAGGCAACTCCTTGACTGATTGCTTTATTCGTGTGTAGAGTAAGAGGGCTGACTTGTTTAAACAAGTCTAGTTGCCATTTAGTTTTCAACTTGATTCACGTCTGCATTTAGTGGATAAATGTTTGAAATACTGCAGTAACTAGAAGACATAGAATGTGACGGCAGATAAGAACCATTCGGCCCATCTAGTCTGCCCAATTTTCTAAATACTTTCATTAGTCCCTGGCCTTATCTTATAGTTAGGATAACCTTATGCCTATCCCACGCATGCTTAAACTCCCTCACTGTGTTAACCTCTACCACTTCAGCTGGAAGACATTAAACACCAGCAGAAATATGTGTAACATTATTTTGGCAGCAGAACATGTCTGAGGGCAGTCCAAACATTACACATACACACTCTCTCCCCAAACAAGGCACTACTTTTAATCTCTGTGCCAATCAAATGCTTCTCAAAGAAAGCACAGCAGTCACTGAACCCCACTAATCGAATGCTTCTATTTGGCCTCTTGTTCCAAGAGTGTACTGGAAACCCTGTCTGAGGGCAGGATGGAATCTTAAAAAAAAAAAAAAAAGTTGCACTATTAGAGAGAAGAGCCAGATAAACCCAAAAGCACTCAAGCTTAAGTCTGTGTGTTCCTTTTATAAAAGTAGCAATCTCAATACAGCCACATTAGAAATGAGCCTATTTCCTATCAGATAGTTCTAAACTCAAGAGGCAAAAGACTGTTCAGCTGCACGTGGAAGTCTGTGATTGGACAGCAACAGAAAGAAAATAGTGGGAGGAAAGGGTTTGCGAAGGCTGCAGATACTATAGCTGCAGCTATTGCTAACCAAAATGTGATACCCACAAAAAAAAAAAAAAAAAAAAGGGAGAAACTAAACTATGTACATTCTTTCTTTATGGTCTAGCTAACATTGTTTAATTGTTTATTTTTTTTGCCAAGACAAGTGTGGAAAGCAGGATATTTTACAAACTTTGTTTTAGGCGAAACGGGTATAGTTCATCACAAAAAGCACAACACGTCTCTCGTATGCTGGATAAATTTTATTAACCTAATTGGTTTGTAGGCGATCCAGCCGTTTATGCAAAGATTTGTTAGCGTATACAATGTATTTTAACACCAAATACAAAATTCTTTCTGTAAGCCATGTAACCGTACCCAGTTAAAGATATCACAATCAATGTGACTGCATGCCCAGGCCAGAATTAAACCACTGCAAATGAGATATCAGACAGTGTAATATCACCAGAGACGCTTAGACCTTTGATCTCATTCAGTTCTCTCACTCTGTGTCGGTATTTACAGATGTCCTCGTTATTTACTTTCACGGTGTACTGGTCTGGTTCACAAAGCACTTGGATCTGAAGGGCAAAAACAAGACGTGAGGGAGACAAATAGACCACTTAAAAAAAAGTTATACTGTCTACAAGCTATGACTTTAGAAGACTGACAAAGATCTTCAGCAGATCAGGGGCAGATGATGATTTTATAAAGATATAATCTATGTAATATTAATTTTGACCGTGTTGGAATATCACTGAAATTGCAGCCAAGTCAAGGGATGTATAGGAAAAAGGGAGAAAATTAGGTTAAAAATGAAAACATTTGCAAGCGAGGTTTACCTTGAATGGTTGGCCCGGATTAAATGGGAATTTAGCCTGAGCCCTTTCTTCATCTCCCCATTTCTGACGAATCAGTGAATTCCGGACAGTAACCCAGGGTCGCTCATCAAACCGTGGATTAAAGTGGAAAGCGATATCTTGGCCTTTTTTAAAGTCAAAGTTAAATCTTAAAAGCAAAAATAAAAGTTACATTAAAAAGTTAAATTCTATTAAGGAATAAATAAACGTGTACAAGAACATGTTCAACAAAATGTATTCACAAAAAAATAAGTCATTTAAAAAAAAAAAAAAAAACACTCAGTTTGCAAAAACTCAGTTTGTTAAGGTTGGGTTTACCAAACTTAATTCATGATTATTTGGCAACCAATGCGGCTGCAGCCCTTAAAATATAATATGGAGCAGGCTAGTTCGTTGTTGTTGGAGATTGAGGGTGCCAAGGTTTTCTCTTACTCCATTAAAGTCGTATGGTTGCCCCCTGCTCTTGGGCCACAGATGAACATGTATCCAACCACCAAAGCCGCTATTAAGGCTTGGATAGTGTCATACACCAAGATTAACCCTTCCACTACCTGGTCCAGAGCTACCCCCGTGATCTGCATTATCTGACTTGCATGTGAAATATTGGCTTTCCCACCGTCTTACATATTAAGGATTTATTTTTGTCCAATTCCTTTATTTTTTTGCCAGTTACAACAGATAGAATCTGCTTATAGCAGATTTAAAGGTATACACACCATACATTCTATTGTAACCATCACCTACTGTTCCAGATATTAATACCATCACTATATTCAACTGTATCAATTAAGCCATCCATAAGTGAACCAGCTCCTGAACGCACTACCTTGAAGGTATTACTGTCCTCTACAGGCCAAATTTGGCCTGGACACTTCTGTTGCCCTGATGCATAGGCAAATGGTAAATTTGCTTAGTGAACACTTTACATTCTCCAAGATCCCTATCCGAGACGTTAAAGTAAACAGGTCTAATCTAGAAAAGAGATAGGTGCCTAGAGATATCAGCTATGCCTCACTGATGATGCCTAACAAAGCTGAAACGATAGTCTGGGGTTGCTGTGTCTCTCGTGCAGAGGGAACTTGCTGGCATTTCAGATCTGGACTGCCCATATGGGTGGGACCAGTCTTATATGCTTCAGAGATGTTCTCTCTGTAATGGCACAAGATGATCTAAAACCAGCTTGAGATCTGAGCGGGGACCCACCAAAGGGTAGGCTTTCAGCTGCTGCCTGTTCTCAGTATTCTCTTGTGCCCCGTTTTTTGCTAGAAAAGATATAGCTCTCAGATCCTGACCGTAGACTAACCATTTCAATGTGCTATGCTTATTTTGCTGGGGAACGTGGTCCAAAATTGGACTATGACAGAGGAAAAGAGAATGGAATATGAAATTTACTATTGAAGAGTGGCATGGGCTTCTATTGGCGCTATGGAGCTCAATGCAGTCTGTGGCACTTTTAGCATCCCATTAAACACATATATAGATGGGACCTTACTCCTTCCAAATTATTTAAAGGACCACTATAGTGCCCTGAGGGTGACCCCACCCTCAGGGACCCCCTCCCGCCTGGCTCTGGAAGGGGGAAAGGGGTTTAAACTTACCGTTTTCCAGCACTGGGGGGAGAGCTCTCCTCCTTCTCTCCTCCTCCGTTCCGCCCTGTCGGCTGAATGCGCACGCGCGGCAAGAGCTGCGCATGCATTCAGCCGGTCACATAGGAAAGCATTATCAATGCTTTCCTATGGACGCTGGCGTGCTCTCACTGTGAAAATCACAGTGAGAATCACGCAAGCGCCTCTAGCGGCTGTCAATGAGACAGCCACTAGAGGATTAGGGGGAAGGCTTAACCCATTCATAAACATAGCAGTTTCTCTGAAACTGCTATGTTTATTAAAAAAATGGGTTAACCCTAGCTGGACCTGGCACCCAGACCACTTATTCCCTATTAATACATGCTGGAGAAGGTACGAACAAGTAGGCACACTATTACACATAATTTTGGACATGTCCTAAATTAAAGCCATATTTGGCCAATACACACACTTTATTAAAGATCAAAACCCACACATTACACCCAAGTTTTGTCTCAAGAAATTCCCAGAGAGGGAGGGGAGCTGAGCAGACACACTGAGCGCCCACGCCTGGGCCCAATAAACAACTGAAAACAGGGGCACATCACCTTGGACTGAACCCCAACATACCTCATCTTGTTATACAGAAGCAGGGGGAATACCTTGCAAGCCTGAAATGCCCGCTGGAAAGCCCGACCCGAGGCTTGGGGCCCTACAACACGCAGGGCAGGGGAGAGGCGGACGCTCTCCCAGCCCATCAACACAAACAGCACCCGTGACTCTCAGCTTCCCCCCTCCCCCCCAGAGGACCGGCAGGGGATATCCTGGTCCAAACAGCTCCGACCCACATACCCCCATGGTCTCCGAGAACTGGCACAGAGCCTAGCTACGCACAAAGCCTGCAGGCCACCTGCCAATACAACATGGCAGAAACACAACCTAGAGAAGAAAGTGTGCCTTCAGAGTACCGACACGACGCTACCGAGCCTCTGCCCACCCGCCTGAACAACAACAACTTCTGGGCAAAGATTGAGGCAAGGCACGCTGCCGCACAGATCCAGCAACGAGAGATCAGGAGCACCGAGCGCGGGCAGAGGGGCGACAGCCGGAGGAGGACTGGATGGCCCTCGGGCACTAACATGTTGAAGCAGCCCACCATTCACCGCACTAGCCCATCCGTGCCAAAGGCCACCACGGGAAGAACCGCAGTGCATCACCCACGCAGGTGGAGGCCATGCCCGCCGCAGGCGCTGTAAACACCTCAAGGCCCCCAGACCTGTCCCAACAGGGAAGGACCCGGCCTCTAGCAGCTCCCAAGTCTGTGGGAATACAATGCTGGCCTTGTCACTGACCCGGAGCTGGAGGGAAGAGCTGGCCTGCTACTTGCTGTTAGCCGATGCCTGCGCCTAGACGGCGCCACCAAAACCGATCCCTGCTGGAGGAATAGGATGACTCACCGAATCACAGGCAGCCAACGCAACACATGTGCATGGACGCTGCCCAGACACATAGACGGTGGCAAATAAACTCTGATGACCCAAACCGATGATGCAAAGTTGCAAGTTTTATGAACATGTTCCTTGACACAAAGCTTGGCCCTTTTAATATGCCAAAACAAAAACAACCTAACCGACCATCAGACTCCCTAAGCTAGATAAGTTACCGCATACACACCTGTCACACACTGAAGTTAACCCGGTTAGCACTTTGACACACATCGTATCACATTTACCTGCAATATGTTCCACCAGTTAGCGATCCCGCCAATCCCTGATTAACCCACTGTTAGAACAGCTCTGCTTATTGCCTGGATGGCCGAGGATACGCACAGTTAACATATGTACAGTATGTCCACGGAAGTACACCTATTGCTAAAGCCTTACGCTTACTCACTTAAGCATCCACGCAAGCGGGTCCCCTTACCCACGCACCCAAACCCTTTGAAGCTGTGACATGTCAGACAATATAAGCTTGTATTTAGAAATGTTATACTAGAATGACAGTATCCACGCTGTAATGGCGTAAGTCTTAGGGTAGATGTTGCCTACATGTCCACCATTATTGACAAACCAGAATGTTATAACAAAAAAAATAAAAAAATAAAAATATATAATATATATATATATATATATATATATTGTGCAGTTCCAACCTCTGTTAGCAATATGTTGCTGGTGTGGCATCACCCGCATGTTTGTACACTTCATGCACGCAACAAAATTTAAATATTAATTCCCAGAGGGTTTACCCAAGGTTAAAATTATGTTAGGTCATCTATTAATTTCAGCTATTCCCCGGGACTGTAAGTCTGACTCGAACATGCTGTCATGGATGGAATGGGGTCAGTGTTGTGAACTAGGTTTTAGGACTCCCTCTGTTTTTAAACATTGCTGGGAAAAGCGACAGACACAAAAATAAGGGGGAAAAACAAAATAAAACTAATCTAAAAAGTCCTACTAAAAAAAAAAAAACCAAATATTGAAATATTTCAAATTGTGCACATCATATCACAAGGCAGCATTTAAATGGGGTTCCTTGTTTTACCTTTTTGCATTTGGGTTAACACTGCCTTGAATGGTTACTAAGAGACGAGGGACAACTCCTGCAGGCAAAGCTATATCATAAGGCACTCTCTGCAAAAAGGGAAAAAAAAAAAAAAAATAATTATTGGATTGCAGTCAGTATTTCAGACAGATTTAATACAAAACACATACACAAAAAAAAAAAAATTCTACATTTCCAGTGATTCATTCAGAACTTCATAGGCAGGGCCGGATTAACATAGGGGCTGATGGAGCTGCAGCTCCAGGCCCAGGCCCATGGAATAGGCCCATTTAAAAAAAAAAAAAAAATTTTTTTTTTTTTTTTACACACCACACACTACTCTTAGGTTTGCCACCTGACTGGTATTTTAATGGCACAGACTGTATTTGAGTCTGCCTGGCCATGCCGGTATTGCAGTAATACCAGCAATACAAATGCAGGTAATTTTCTCAGAATAAATGGAAATTACTCTGCAATACCAGCACCGGCCAGTAGGGGTCACTGTGTATGGAGAGAGGCAGGGATAGGAAGTTACAGAATATCCCTCCCTGCCTCTCTCTACTACTCACTGATCCGTGGGGGAGCAGCTACACAGCACAGAGAGTCCAGACAGCAGCTCTACAGCTCAGGTAAGTGAGGGATGGGGGGAAAGGCAGCAGGGACACATGGGGACACTGAGACACTAAGGGACACAGACACTAGGGGACACATGATGACACATACACTAGGGGACACTGAGACACTAGGACACAGACACTGGGAACACTGAGACACTTGGGGACACTGGAAAAAATGGGGACACTGAGACACTTGGGGACATGGGGACACAGACACTAGGGGACACGTGGAACACAGAGAGACATGGGGACACAGAGAGACATGGGGACACAGAGAGACATGGGGACACAGAGAGACATGGGGACACAGAGAGACATGGGGACACAGAGACATGGGGACACAGAGACACGGGGACACAGAGACACGGGGACACAGAGACACGGGGACACAGAGACACGGGGACACAGAGACACAGAGACACGGGGACACTGGGAGACATGGGGACACTGAGACATTTAGGGAAACTGGGAGAAATGGGGACACTGAGACACTAGGGACACAGAGAGACATGGGGACACTGACAATGGCACACACTGAGACATTGGGACACTGGGAGAAATGGGGACACAGACACTGGGAGACTAGGGGACTGGGCGAGATGGGGACACTGACACGGTGATACATAGGGACACTGAGACACTGGGTGACTTGCGAGACTGAGATACTGGGAGACACTGGGAGCAATCCATCTATACAGCAGAATCAAACTGTGAGTAGTTTGTTGGTGATTTTACAGAATGTCACTCCTTGTGATTTACACGCATAACTAATTAATTATGCAAATGATTAAGGCTGGTATTTTTTTCCAAGAAAGGTGGCAACCTTAACTACTCTTCACATACTCTTGCTTAAAGGAGCACTATAGTGTCAGGAACACAATCATGTATTTCTTACCATATTATGTTAAAACCACCACCCTGGCCCTTTCTTACCTCCCTAAATATAGTAAAATATTACTTGTATTCAATTCTGCAGCTGCTGGCTCAGAAGTGGTGGTCTGGGCAAATTACAATACTTCCCCATAGGATTGGCTGAGACTGTCAAATAGGCAGATCAGGGGCAGAGCCAGCACAAGTCCAACATAGCCCTGGCCAATCAGCATCTCCTCATAAAGATAAATTGAATCAATGCATCTCTATGAGGAGAGTTCAGTGTCTGCATGCAGAGGGTGGAGACACTGAATGGCAGTGCTGCACACTAGGCAGTACTGCCCCAGGAAGCACCTCTAGCAGCCATCTAAGGAGCGGCCAGTGGAGTTATTTTCTCTGAAAAGACAGTGTTTACTGCAAAAAGCCTGAATGGAATGATTCTACTTACAAGAACAAATACAATAAGCTGTAGTTGTTCTGGTGACTATAGTGTCCCTTTAAGTTTGGAAGCTTAAGAGGGATGTATGGGAACAAAACTTGTGTGCACTGGCTGACATTAAAGTTAGTTTAGGTAATGCAGACGTTGGTCTCTCTAACACTGTGGCATGTCCCCTTTCTTCTACACTCACTACAGACACCTTTTCTCTGTCTCAGACTATACTAGGAACTTCTGCCTGCTAGTAAGAAGGTAAGGAGACAAGTGGACCAGCGAGTGCTAGGGGACAGTCCTTAGAAAGAATGGAGTGAGCACATCATTAGACGCATTTATGTCAAGCTCAAGGTGCTGCCTGCATTGTATGCCCTTAGTTGGACAGCCTGCAGGATTGGCAGGCAGCCTGACATGCATTCATGCCAGGCTGACCTTCCAATTCTTTGGACAGACATGCCCCCTTTTTGGACATGTTCACCCCTTTTGGCAGGTCTTGTCACGTGATTCGCGCCAGTGGCACACCCTTTTACCCCACCCATTGACTTCCTGCTTCACTGGACACTGCTGTTAGGGGCTATGGATTTACTTGAAAGATGAAAGCATAAATTAGAGAGAGATTAGCATAGAGTATGTGTTTTCTTATAGTGTTTTCCCTCCAGCACCATCTCCATCAGATACATGACGCTTGGGAGGTATGATTGTTTTAATGTTTTTGGTCGATAAGATTCCGTAATTAGGCCCATCATAATTGTCAGCACCAGGCCCACTGTGCTCTTAATCCAGCCCTGTTCATAGGCCATCATGTTGGCTTGCTGGGCAGTTTTTCTTTTTGCTGGAATTAGCCGGGTGACCCCCGAACAGAGCTTTCAGGACCTGCTCCTCAATCAGCGATTGTTCTGAGATCACTCGGGGAAACACACCCTTCATTCGTAACACTATCAGCACTCAACATCTCACTCAGTCTGAGAAGTCAGGACAAGGCTACCTTCACCAAGCACCATCAAGATTTAACTAATTAATCACTGGATTATACAGTAATGCCAGCCCACTCACCCCATGTTATTTACTAAAGGGAGAATTGCTGGGAATTCAAAGTGAATTGAAAGGTTTAAGCTGTTGAGCAGGTTAAATTCTCCAAGTCAGCCATGAATTAAATGGGACCTTTACCTTAAATTTCTTACTTTAGTTACTAACCTTCTAGGGGGAATTTAAAAATAAAAATTAAAAATTTTTTTTTAAAAAGGGATAGGAAAGAAATCTCATTCCCACCAGCATTCCTGTTACCCTACAACAACGTGAAAATAAAAATCCCGGGACTCATCCCCCTCAAATTGCGTAAGACTGGTTACAGAATGCTGTTTGGATGGAAATATTTGAGCTTAGTTTAAAGCAGGGGTAGGCAACCTTTGGCACTCCAGACGTTTTGGACTACATCTCCCATAATGCTGACAAAGCATCATGGGAGGTGTACTCCAAAACATCTGGAGTGCCGAAGGTTGCCTATGCCTGGTTTAAAGAAATAAGTCAAACTGAACAGATCTGCTGGTTCTTACTTTCATTTAACTTTAAACATGTTATTGGATTAAATTAATTTAAACAGACTCACCACAGGTCCAGTAGGTGCCGGATATCCAGGAGCGCTGGGTGTGACTCCTGGAGTGGGAGCACCTGGATATTGCTGGCCTGGTCCAGGGAATTGCTGGCCTGGTGCACTTGGTCCAGTAGATGGGGCCCCTGGATACTGCTGGCCTCCTGGACCGCCAGGAAACCCTGGGTACTGCTGGCCTCCTGGACCGCCAGGAAACCCTGGGTACTGCTGGCCTCCTGGACCGCCAGGAAACCCTGGGTACTGCTGGCCTCCTGGACCGCCAGGAAACCCTGGGTACTGCTGGCCTGCTGGACCGCCAGGAAACCCTGGGTACTGCTGGCCTCCTGGGCCGCCAGGAAACCCTGGGTACTGCTGGCCAGCTGCTGGGTTCTGGCCCCCCCAAGGGGCACCTGGCCAGGATTGCCCATCAGATTGCTGGGTTGGGGCTTGACTTTGGCCCGATACGGCATCTGTCAACTAATGGAGAAAGAAAGTCAGGTGGCCAATGTGAAGGATTCAACAAAACTACACATTTTTTAAAGTTTGTTCAGATGGAATGAAATTCATCATGTGGCGTTTCAGCTTAGATATGTATTGTCCATGCCATTGTTTACACATCAGCTATGCAGATGGACCAAAAATAGCACCAGAGATTGGGTACTACACATACACAAGGCAAATATTTTGTTTGTACAGCAGAATATAATCCATGCATTTTCTGGTCATGTGGTCGTTAATGAACTTTCCAAGCATTTCAATACTGTGAGAAAATCTTCCATAGACTTTACCGTGGACTTTTATAGACAAATTTGGAAGGTTTTTCCTAACAGCATTTAATCATCTGGAAGGCTTAAAAAAGGAACATTATAGAGTCATGAATACAAACATTTATACCGGACACTATAGCGCTGGTGTGGCTATTTAAGTTTCTGGTCCCCCCTTCTCTGTTATGGGAAAACAAACTTTAAATAAGGGTCAATCTTAAATTTCATCCAATGGTTTCCCATAGAAGAGAATTATGAGGCTATTGTGCATGCGCTACACCAAATCAATATCTCTTCAAAGAGATGCATTGAATCAGTATCTCGATGGTAATGTTCAGTGCCTCCATGCACTTTCCAATGATTATCCTGTGAACGTTAAAACATATCCATCAGATTGTCTTGAGGGTGTGTGAAAGATAGGTTCTGCTGTTACATTGATGATATTACGGTGATGTGGCCCCTACATGCCTTTACAACGGTTTTGTAATATCATGCCAGTAAATATGGACTTATAATTGTGTGGACAAACTGGATGAAATGAGATTTCACTAGCATGTCCCAAGCTGATCTGGAAACGTTGGCTTTCACTGAATGTTGTCTGTTAGCCAGCATCAGGAGAGATCATTGGGGAATAAAGAAAATGAAAAATAATGGGGCGTATTGGGGTGGCAGTGTAGAATAGTAAATACATTTAAAAAAAATTAAACAAGATGGAGGAGGGGAATCTTCCTTTTCATCTGGAAGAAAAATCTTGAAGACACTATAGACAAGGGTAAGAGTACAAATCAAGCTTATTTTATTTGTATTTTAAGGAAATAGAAAAGGTTATTGTATTTGAAGACTGCAGAAAAAGTTTAGCACAGGACAGGTAGAAAGAAAAAGTTAAATTGATAACTTACCGAAAAATCGTCTGACATTTTCTGAAAAAAAAAAAAATTTAAAGAACTAAATCAGTTACCACAAATATCTGAAGAGGAGGACACAAAATCGGTCGGACACTGAGCTCCTGAATTTGGGAACAGACCAGGAAGGAACTACCACTTTCTGCCAGGATACAGATTACCCTCACCATTTAAGTTGGTCTTTGGGACCCATTTACCCGAATCTTCTTCGAGTGTCTGGGAGTACTTGGAGTATTCTATATACCCATTGTAAAATGATTTTACACTAGGTTTGTCTTCGGTTTTACAAGTGATTAAAGTTTACTAAAGAATAATTTCTGCAGACATCTGTCATATCATCCGTGGATTGATATTACACTGAAAACTGCTTATTCATGTAATCTTACCGTGTTTCCTCACTGCAACAACAATATAGAGGATTACAAATTTATATTGCATGCTATACACACACACACACACCCCACTTTGAGTTTTATTTAGTTTTAATACAGGGATTTGGAGGTTGAGCCGGTGTGTTAGTGGTATTACACCGTTTGTTTCTATGTCAGTAAAGGAATATCTGGATTGTGGTGGCTGTGTAGATATTCAGTGGATCTTATAACTTTTGGTTAGGATTTGCCAAAGCTTGGTCTGAAGAAGGGGTTATAGACATAGACACACACACACACACTTTTTTGCAGAGTGGGAGCACGGTCTGTCCTGTAAATCAAGTTGTGTCCAGTAAAAGCCGGAGACTGGGGTGTGTTTGCGGTGAGGCATTCACCCTATAGACAGACAGTCACAGCCTCCACCTTCCAGGACTTGAATACCATGTAATAGGATGACTGCACTACCGCAAGGTTTCACGTCAACTGAAGCATTTTATCCAGCTGATGAAAAAATGACTCGGCAAAGGTTTAAGATGAAGCAGAGTTTGTGTCAATTAAAGCATTTTATTCATTTAGAAACAGTATCAGATGTGCCAACCACCCTGATTTTGGTGGAAAAGTCCTTATTTTTAGATGCTGGACCAACTTCAGGGATTTAGCGAGAGCGCTAGAAAGAGCTGAAACAGAGCTCCCAGCATGATGGCTAAGGCGGCCTAGCATTCACACCAGGCTGATCAGACCATAATGCGGTGGGATCTGCCCCATCCTACTTCTCGGGAGGTTATAGAGGATCAATTATTTACCAAAGATGACCACATGTGACAAGCGCACAAGGCCTCCTTGTTTTGTCGTATAAGATCTGACATGACACTGGTTTAGATTTAGGGTAAAAATAGTGTCACTTCAAATGCAGACACACAGTCGTCATGTGAAGTAGTTTTATGAGCTGCAGACAATTCCCCACTGACCTCCATCATCCCAGCACAAAGTGCCAGACACGCTATTGTGACAAGTGCAGTACGAACACCGGTTTAAATGCCCTTGTGCCAGGCAATTTAGCGGCATACGGCCATTACGAACACCGCAGATAATTACTTACATACGCCCACCATAGGCCAAGGCTCCCCGTGCATTTCACATCACACTGAAACCATTAAATGAACGGTTACTGTGTAATCCCCGGAGTCTAGTACAGTTATGGCAGAGGAGAATTATTGAAGATGCTCCTGCATAATGACTGTGCAAATAGGACAGTAAGCAAGACTGGCGTGGTACGATAACCATGTGCAAACAGTTAGTCACCATCACCAGTCATTATTTTGGCTTCTGCAGAGATTACTGCTCATTAACTTCAAAAGAACCGTCTATTAAGTGCTCTCTGGGCGGCCGGCGTTCGTATAGCCGAATGCCACGTGGAACAGAAAACGGCAGCCATCTTGTTTGCACAAAAGGAGGCAGCGGGACTTGGTCGTCGAGTGTCTGGAACTAAAAATCGGACACTCGACCTCCCGAACCACCGCTGAAACATACGAACGCCTGCTTCCTTTAGTTGCCGAACAGCCAGGAGAGCGCCATTCGGTAGTTTGGTTCATACGAACAAAGGGAGCAATTGCTCCTATGAGCCAGGAGGATCCATTGGGGACTTTATTAGTTTTTATGCCATTTACTGAATTGACAGACCGCACGCGCTGAATTCGTGGGACTGTTTTGGGCAGGAACCTCGTGTGCGGTCGGTAACTTATGACTTCCATACTTTGAGAATCCCTGAACTGATCTGGGTGAAATTTGAATATGTTGGTCCCCCAGATTGGGGCTATCAGGGGATACCTTGTGTGCAAAGGGGTGTTCTAAGTTTTGGGGACATTGTGTGCCCTCTGCCTGGAGATAATTGGGTTATTCCTTATCTCAATATCTCCCAGGCAGAGAGAGGGCGGGGGTTACTGTAAATCTGTATGTTGATTGGTTATGGTCTTTGTTTACTGTGGGAGGTCTTCTTGCAGGAGGATTCTCATAAAAGCCAGTGTGGCCTCAATAAAAAATCATTCCTGTTACACCGTTCATGAAGTCTAGGCTCATGCTTGGGGAATATTCTATTTGCTGGGGAGAATTGTCTTGGAAGCTGCATTCAGCTACACTATTCCTCTACCTCCTAACTGCAGTTATACTCACTTATACTCAGCTATTGGGAAAGGAATAGAAGACTGCAGTACCATAACCACTGCAGGTCTTAACACCCTTTTTATTTTTATTTTAAATTGCCTGGGTCACCAGACAAAAATCCTACAGAGACGGAGCGATAACAAGGCAGCGATATGCGTGGGGGTGCGCTGCCTACCTTTCTTTGAAAAAGAAATGCAAAGTATTTGAGGATTTGCAAATGTAAACTGGTTTGTGCGGTTTTGTTTTTACAAAGTGACTCACTGGGTAGATTGCTGAGCCTCAGGGGAAGGTGTAGCTTTCAGTAATTATTTCAATTAGGATTCAGCACACACTAGCCGTTTGCTTTTAACTTATCTCTGGTGTCTCTAAGTCGAATAACAGAGGTTAAAAAAACAAGGGGAAGTGTATGGTGCATGCTTGTGTGCAGAGTGAGCTGATTGTGGTGTGGTATTGTGGTGTACTATGTGTGGCTAGGGGATGTACACTGTGTGTTTAGAGAATGTTGTATGTGTTTGCTTACAAGGAATGTAGTGTGCACAGTGCTGCCATTCCTGGTGGTCTTAGTGGCGAGTCTCACGAGACCTGAGCGTTGCCGCGGTAATGGGTCCCTCTGAGTCCTGCAACATATGAGTGCCTGTGAGAGAGATCTTTGATCTCCCCACCGCCCATGAAGCCACACAGCAGCGCCAGCTCTGCATGGGTCGGCAGGGGAGATACTATGATCACCCCTGCCGGCCTCGGTCCATGGCCATCGCGGCCCACTGGGCATTTGCCCAATGGCCAGCTCGGGCCTGCCTGTGGTGCATGCATACAGGGGCCACTAGAGACACATCCTGGTGGCTAAGCAACATTTGGTCATCTAACGGACGCTGGATGTCCGAATGCTCTGCACAAGGACATCCCATGTCAGACAACTCCCCACTGGAAAGCATTGCAGCAGTTAGCACTTCGGAGGGGGCTGACCCAGCACCACAGGAGATCGGTGTTGGAATCGGGCAACTACAGTAAGGGTTTATTAACCCTTACACTGCCAGGAGAGGGAAGTATAGTGATGGGATACTATAGCGCTAGAAATACAAAGCTGTATACTTTTATTATCACATGATGGGAAATTCTGACCAGGGTTGGACACTGAATAACAGCGCCACCAGGCTCCTGTTAGATTTGCATTTATTAATATTCACAGTTTAGTTTTTTGTTTGTTTTTTTAAGCTTTTATATTTTAATTTACAGTTTAATGAATATTCTATGTGTGATCACTGTACAGGGAAGCAGGGTGATTTATACACAGCCCGGAGTAATGAGATTAATGTAACCACCCAAAATTCCAACTTCCTGCAAGTCATTCTATACAATGTATCCCCTATCAAACAATCCAAGTACATTTTTTTAAAATCACAAAATAAACCTATTGTGGCTCAATCTTGAAATGTATTTGATGGCAGGAATTTTGAGTTGGCCACAAGCCTTTGATCAAGGAGTAGAATTTCTAGGTTTGGCAGGTAACATGTTCAATACAAGAACAGGAAGGGAAGCAGGACACTGGGGACAATTGTGTCCATGAAAGATATTCGTAGCCCAGGGTGCATACAGACCGCAGAAAAGCTACCGGCCACGCAGCTACACCCCGGCACACAAAGTGCAGGGAGCATCATCAGTTGTCACTCACAATGTCACCTGATTGGAAACCTAACTAGGGGCCTGCTTGGAGGCTGAAGCCCTTTAATCCTGGTAGATTTAAGGTTCTAGGAGGAAGCGATCCCATGTTACAAAAGAGCAGAGTGATGAGGGCTAGGAAGCCGGACCAGCCCCAATCAGCCTCAGCCAGATCCCACTAAATGCCAGGGAAGCCACCCAAAATGTATGGCTAAAAAAAAACATGCCAATTGTGACTCTTGGGATGTAAGGAGAGAGATATATGGATAGATATCTCAATACATTCCAACAATCAAAATGTCAATACGATACACAAACACACCCCTGCATTCAAAAAACATATAAAACACAACACTGCATTAAAATGGCGACAGTACAAACACACTTGCCAACACTAGACACTCATACAGTCACGCATCCTAGCCAGAGACGCTCATACAGTCACGCATCCTAGCCAGAGACGCTCATACAGTCACGCATCCTAGCCAGAGACGCTCATACAGTCACGCATCCTAGCCAGAGACGCTCATACAGTCACGCATCCTAATTCACACAGGGTACAACTACAATAATCTGTTCACACAGATACCGCTCTGGCTTACAAAGCATCATGGGAGATGCACAGCAGTTGGGAATCTATATTTCGGTTGCTCATGGGGGTCAAAACAAGATAATGAAAACACATGCACCAGGCCCCGCTCTACGTTAGTTCCGCCAGCGCATGCATATACAATGGTGTCAGGCACCAGACACTGGCAGGGAGCTGCGGAACTGTTCTCCCATTAGTGGAAATCGCATAGAAAGGCCGAGCTGTGTCGAGTATTATTCAAACAGCTGCTGATGGTAGACTCGGTACTGGATGGGTTCTCGTAGAAATACAGTCATTGCGGATATCTGTAAACACTGCCCTTCTCTATGTATTACTTATAGGAGAATGGATCTTGCAATCTGACACCGACTAGATTACTCTGTACCCATCATGCAGTGAGAGGGTTAATATCCCACGCCTGTACCCATCATGCAGTGAGAGGGTTAATATCTCCGCCTGTACCCATCATGCAGTGAGAGGGTTAATATCTCCGCCTGTACCCATCATGCAGTGAGAGGGTTAATATCTCCGCCTGTACCCATCATGCAGTGAGAGGGTTAATATCTCTGCCTGTACCCATCATGCAGTGAGAGGGTTAATATCTCTAGAGCCAGGTAGAATCCTCTGAGCTAGGTTGAACCATCTAGCAGCAAGATCTCAAATTATGGGTTTTACAAATAGCAGGGAGGCGGGAGTAGCTAGATGGATGGTATACAGATAAACACCTTGGGCTTTTAAAAAAAAGTTAATTCTATTTTTTGTGTAATATAGTTCCCTAGTTACGATTTAAAGGGATTTAGAATTTTATAAATAGGAACACCAAGTCCCATACATCTCAGCCCTTGTTTACAGGTAACTTGGAGAAAATAGAGGTTTAATGAGCGCTTGCTGCCACAATCGGGTTTATTCATTATGTCATTCAGGCTACTACCTTGATATTTAGTGATCCTGTTACAGACCGACAACACACAAACTGGAAACATTTTATTTAACTCTGCTATTGTGGCCTAAACATTGTAATGCCAACAGGGAGAGAACGCAGACTTACAGGGACACACAGAGTTAGAAAAACAAACTGTAAACAGGAATATAGATTTCCTACATGTTCTATGTAACATTTTCTATATATTGTGTATTAATATTGTTTTTGCATTTTATGGTACCCTGTTGTATCAATGCCATGTTTTGTGGACCCAGGACAGAATTGAAAACGAGAGAAATCTCAATGTATCCTTCCTGGTGAAATATTTTATAAATAAACATGGATACATACAAACAAGTTATTAACTCTGTCATTTTTGGGAACTAACCCAACAAGGTTTAATAATAAAAAATATACTTACAGAAGGCCTCGTATCACAATCGGGAGACTGAGGGGTAACCAGAAAATGTTAGCAGTTACTGCTACAGCTTTTTATAAAGGCTGCTCTGAGAGCTGATGGCGAAACGCCCAAAATCACCACACCCCTGACAAAACCTGAGTAGCAACACACACCCCTACTGTCAATACAAGGCCTGCTACAGGCAGCCTGGTTCTCCCACATTCTTTTTAGGGCAGGAATACACATTTTAGAAGAAAAAAAAACGTGCTTTGTTTATTGTTCGAGTGTTAAATAAAACCCAAATACATTTATGTAATCCAAGCCTGTTTACAGGACACACGTAGGTAGATCTCTCATTAGTTAGACTGTCATCACATACTATTAGTAAACAAAACAATGAATAATTATAGGGACCGTGAAAGTAACATTAATTAATTAAAAAACCCAGCTACACGGGCAGAAAGGAAAAGTACGATAATCTCAAACACTAATTTTATGTTAAGTTTGCAGGTCTGTGGGTCGGTCTGAGATAACATATTACTCAGGGTTATCTACTAAAGTGAGAATTCAAAGATACAAGTAGCCAAAACAGTCCCCCCACCCCATAATTCTAACAAGGTTATCTACTACAATGAGAATTCTCGGGAATTAAACTGGAATGTCAAATTTAAGACCAAAGCAGCAAATCAGGAAATATTCTCCAGTCAGCTATGATTCCATTTCGGCTATTTTGGTCTAATGTTTCGAATCCACTTTGAATTCTAACGTTAGTGGATAAACCCAGTAACTGCTTTATGCAGCAACCAGTCATCAAACAGAGAACGAACTGATCTGTTAATTCTAAGAATTATTCGAAATCAATGTAATGCCAGCTAACTGAGCTATGTTTATTTTAATCTGGTATTTTTACCTCGGTTTTGCCATCCAGAATTATTACATGAAAATTGCAAGTTTAGTGAATTATCCTTCATGTTACTCCTGGAAGGTGCTGGATTTAGCAAGTGCCGTACATTATATGTGTAACAATGTATCTATAACCGTACTGTATGTGTCTATTATATGTGTAACAATGTATCTATAACTGTACTGTATGTGTCTATTATATGTGTAACAATGTATCTATAACTGCACTGTATGTGTCTATTATATGTGTAACAATATATCTATAACTGCACTGTATTTGTCTATTATATGTGTAACTAGGTATCTATAACTGTACTATATGTTTTTATTATATGTGTAACTAGGTATCTATAACCGTACTGTATGTGTCTATTCTATGTGTAACAATATATCTATAACTGTGCTGTATGTGTCTATTCTATGTGTAACAATGTATCTATAACTGTGCTGTATGTGTCTATTCTATGTGTAACAATGTATCTATAACTGTGCTGTATATGTCTATTATATGTGTAACAATGTATCTATAACGGTGCTGTATGTGTCTATTATATGTGTAACAATGTATCTATAACTGTACTGTATATTTATTATATGTGTAACAATGTATCTACAACTGTACTGTATGTGTCTATTATATGTGTAACAATGTATCTATAACTGTGCTGTATGTGTCTATTATATGTGTAACTAGGTATCTACAACTGTGCTGTATGTGTCTATTATATGTGTAACAATGTATCTATAACTGTACTGTATGTGTCTGTTATATGTGTAACAATGTATCTATAACTGTACTGTATATTTATTATATGTGTAACAATGTATCTATGACTGTACTGTATGTGTCTATTATATGTGTAACAATGTATCTATAACTGTACTGTATATTTATTATATGTGTAACAATGTATCTATGACTGTACTGTATGTGTCTATTATATGTGTAACAATGTATCTATAACTGTACCGTATGTGTCTATATGTGTAACAATGTATCCAAAACTGTACCGTATGTGTCTATTATATGTGTAAAAATGTATCTATAACCGTACTGTATGTGTCTATTATATGTGTAACAATGTATCTATAACTGTACTGTATGTGTCTATTATATGTGTAACAATGTATCTATAACTGTACTGTACGTGTCTATCATATGTGTAACAATGTATCTATTACTGTACCATATATCTATTATATGTATAATAATGTATCTATAACTGTACTGTCATAGGCGAGCGCAGCCTATTGCATTAGGGTGTACACCCTAAAGCACAAACACGCACGCCGTGTGTATATGTATGTGTATATCCAGAAAAATGAGAGGTGCACTCCTGGATTTGAAAATTAAACTTGATTTATTGTGCAAATTACATAGCTCCAATGATCGACGTTTCGACCTTTATAAGGTCTTTTTCAAGATCAGAACATACAATTATTAAACTGTGAAATATATACATATTAACAATGAACACCTACCAATCAAAAGTGCAGTGACTCGCCACCACCCGTTCATGAACTCGGAAGTAAGTGGAGACCACGTGTGACGTCACTAAGCAACAGTAGTGCTGGGCAACCAGGTACCCGTGAATCAAATTATGAGCATTGACTAGCTCTTCCGGGATGGAGGATTGAAAAGGTAACTCTGAGGCTATAATGTGTACTACAAAAACCTGTGAACTTAAAAACCTGTGTGTCTCAAAGTGTAAAAAAAGTAAAAAGAAGTCCTCAAGGTACCAAAATTAATGAAAATGGACTTAATAAGGATAATAATCAATTCAGTTCCAATGAACATCACTGAGTGGGTCTGGCGGACTAAAAAATAGCAATTGTCCAAATTATATTTCATATTTACAATGGGCGGAGCAGGAGAGACATGCATGCTTAATATCAATAAAGAATGAATTCAGATATGTGTGCCCAAGCATGACCCCCAATAAGAGTGTGCTAAGGACATATAAAGACTTAATGAAACTAAGTGCCACGTTGATATAGTAACAATAAAAACCGAGAAAAAATGCATCCTTAATAAAGGTTGAAAAAATGAATTCCTGTGTATGTTCCCAAGCAAAGCCACCTACAAATGTGTGCTTAGGACGTATATAGAGTAGGAAAAAAGTACTGCGTTGGTACAGTAACAATAAATAAACACATGCTTTATATAAGCTGAGGAGAAGAATAGCAACCTACAAAGGTGTATCTTGGACATATATAAAGTTACTGAAAAAAAAGTGCCACATTGATACAGTAACAATGAATGAAGTAAGAAAAAAATACAAAGTATACTATTGCATGTGAGGGATTTATGCAGAAACACTATTTCCGTGTTATCATGGAAAAAACTTCTCTATTAAGCAAATAAATGTGAATACTCTGAATGCATAATTATAGAAACATGGAGAATATTGTGTTTTCATTCAAGCCATTGGGGGACACCGTATTTAAATGGTTCATCCAGTATGCCTCATGTTGCAACAATATTTTAGATCTGCCACCCCCATGGGTTAAAGGGGGAACATGATCAATGGCATTGAAACGTAAAGATGGGAGATGATGACCCATTGGCAGAAAGTGTTTAGCGACTGGTTTGTCCGTCTTTTCATCGCGGTATGCAGTGTTGATAGTGGGCCGATGTCTCGTGAATTAACGTAACATTTCCACAGTTATTATCTTGTCTAGATAGCTCTCTGTACTGCTCGGATAGGACGCTCGCTGCTGTCCATGCTGGTTTGTTTACCCTGAGTATGCTGAATTTGATTAGCTCGATTTCTTTGTCTTTTATTTTACCGCGAGCATGACATGTTTATCTGCTATGACGCCATTCTCTTTATGCCTCAATCAAAGAAATATTGACAAAAGATATATATATTTATATAAATCGACACCTCTTTATACTATAGTTTGCTATGTTTGTCTTGTATGAACTGAATTTTGATGCCGTTTGCAAATCTTTAATACAAATTTAACCTAAGCATCTCATGAAGAGAGGATTAACCGAAGTTATAGGTGATTTCTCTGTATAGTTTGTTCATGTGTTTTATTTTTATTTCTTACCGACATTTGTAAAGTGCTGTGGGCAATCTTTTTACAAACGTTAGAACTAGACTGTTACAGTAATTGGTCTAATGGAGTTTGTTTAACGTACAAAATTCATAACTTATTAGACCCTGTAACGGATCACCTGGCACCCCGACTGGGTACATCCGCTGAAGGATGCTCCTAGCGCTTACAGAGGGCTCCAAGCGCTCCGCAGACACCACAACCACCGCAGCTTCGACTACTTCGGCTGTATCCGAAGTGCCAATTTAAAGTTGCACTACTGCTCCAAAGTAATTAAAGGGCCAGAAACAGCATTATAAAAATCCATTATGGCCAAATACAGTTCTTAAAGGGTCAGTAACAGTAGAATATAAGTCCATAAGCCCCAACTCAGTTCCTTAAAGGGCAATACATCACAGGGGCCATAGTCACATGGCAGGAGGCTGGCAAACTGGCCCCTCCAAAAACCAGTGGCGAGGTCACTTTCGAACCAGTCCCACTGTTTGATCTCTTGTACAAACAAACACCGGTTGCATAGCAGAATGAGCCCACTGATTAAGTAGCACGGGGCCGTATGATATGGGTGTGGTACATGATATGTAGAATAAAATCTTATTCTGTGAGTCATTGTTCCAATCAGTTATGAAATCCTGCCATGATTGCAACACTATGTATAATAGAAAAACACATTAGGGTGTCATAAATCACATATTCTTCCTACATATGGGAGGGGGGGTCTACAGTGCTGCAGTCTTATGACATGGAAATCTGCTAGAATTTACTATCCTATAGGAAACACTATCCTCTTCAGAACCAAGGAAAATAATTGTCTTCCAATTTCTTATTTTGTCATTTCCTACCTAGAAAGGTCCCAACATTCCAGCCTATCACATGATATATTAATGGAAATCCCAGGATGTCCTCTTTACAATACAGCAGGGGATTGATAGAGCAGCTCAAAAGAATGAAAGGAGATGCATGTGAACGAAATGTCCAGTACGGAGGACACAAGTTAACGGGCTGGGTCTCAGGAGGTTATGACATGGACATAGAAGAATCTGGTTACAGTAAATCGTGATTTAAAGAGGAACCTTCACTAAAATGACTTTTTCTGTTTGTACTGGCTTTGCCTTATGTTAACCGGATCATTTGTTAAATCTTTAATAATTAAAAGAAAACGAAGAATCTCATGAAGAAGTGTGATTTTGAAATGATTTATTCAATCCAAACAAGTGACTGCTGTGAGAAATATGGACGTTATCAGACCAGTAACATTTATATCCTTATCTCTTTTGCAAATAAATGAAGAGAACTCTACAACTCCTTGGTAACAGTGAGGTTAATTTACTGCTTGATATAAAGCATTGTCATTCATTAACGTTACTTGTACGTCTCGAGCGCTGACTTCGGCGCATAACTTGGAGCATGCAGAGTGTTTTGAACGCATTGCGGAATTCGCTCATTACAGCAGTTAATAGTGAGACAGGTTTGGAATTATAAACAGTTCCAACAAAAATAAATGTTAAAATACACAAGGGCCACAAAATGCCTAAGTATCTCCCTTTCCCCCTCTCAACTTAGAACTGGATGTTTGTTTTTATGTGACATATGCCATATGTACCGCATATTTAAGGGGGTAGTAGATTATATACACACACTATCTATATATATATATATAAATCCAAAAAGGTGGCAGCACTCACAGAATAAAAATTCTAATCTTTATTTGTTCATATTAAAAATAATCAACGTTTCAGTCCTCTGTGTGGGACTTTCTTCAGGATCAATACATTTACAAAATCAAAATTCAGGCTTAAATAAGCAAATACAATAATAGAATTAGCTTACCCCCAGGTGCAGTGCATCTCAGATCAGCATTCTATTGTGGCCGACGCGCATGTGCAATGAAGCTCCGCCCCCACGTGACGTCGCGACGTGCCCACATCGCATGCGTTGCTATGACGACGCGCCACCCACGGCGCCACTATGGAGATAGAGCTATCATTATATTAGCTGTGTGCAGTGTACATCTGCTAGTTCTAGAGAAAAAAAACAAGTACTATGGAATCAGGATGAAGTGCTTATTAAATATTAAGTGCTTAATAATAAAAATTTTATAGTAAATTACTATGTGACAATGGTGTTGAGTTATTAACTATCTCTGGGTGAAAGAGTCTGAGTAATTATTAAACGTGACATTATGTATAATTAAAGGTGATAATGTCTAGTTGTACTTTCGCCAATAAAGTGCATATATTAGGTAGAAAGTGCCTAGTGTTTACATATAAAGTGCAAACAGTGTCTATAGAAAGTGATATAAACCCATAAATAGGGATTGACATTATATAACAGAATAAACCTCATGTGTATATATATATATATATATATATATATATATAAAGTGACTGCAATGAAATATTTACAGAAAGTTTACAGTGCTATACTGCTAAATTGATATATAGCTTACAATATAGTCTAATGGATTTATCAATCCTTGGTGGAAGAACCCTTTAATGGAGGTGCTAAACACCAAGGATTATAACAGGGCAACCTAATAGATGGTATGCAATTATGAATTAATCAATTTTAGTATAAGCCTATTATTATAAAATAACAACTCAGAAATAACCAAATATTGTTACCATGAAGGGTAACTTAATAAGCACATTTAGAATAAAAAAATAAATAAATTATTTTTGAATAAAAATAAAAGCTCAGCTGGAGCCAGGATTCATAGAAAGGAATGAAATGAAATGGTTTCATTAAGCCCCTTGGGTGACACAGTATCGAGTTCAAAGATCCAGAATGCTTCTCGGTTCAGCAATATTTTTCCACGATCCCCTGCTCTTCGTGATATGGGTACATGATCTATGCCCAGGAATTTCAAGGAAGTTAGCGGATGTCTGTGTTGCAGGAAGTGTTTGGCCACTGGTTTATCAGATGATCCATCCCTGTATACCTGCTAACCTGATACTGGACCGGTGGCCTCTGATTCTTTCACATAGGGCAGTTTCGGTTTTACCGACATAAACCAGTCCACATGGACATGTAAGTTTATATATTACATGTGTAGTCCTGCACGTGATGGTATGTTGTATAGTATACTTCCTGTTAGTGTGTGGGTGGTTAAAACTTTTTGATGGAGTCATTTGTCCACACGTTACACATCCTAGACAAAGTACAGATCCACGGTTCTGGATGACACTCTTCTCTGAATAACTTTTAATCGGGTCTGTGTGTACCAGCATGTCTTTCAAGTTTTTGTTTCTTTTGTAGCAGATCAGCTGAGTGGAAAACATGGAAAACTTTGGGGAGCATGTCGTCTGTTGCTAGCATTCTTCTAGTTTTCCGAATAGTTGAAGAAATCTGTGATGCTGAGTTATGGAAGGTCATGGGAAAAATTAGTCTTTGAGTTGGTGATGCCACCCTTCTTGCTTGAGACGCCTTGGCTTCATCTAAAGCTTTACTGAGGGTTTGTCTATGATACCGACAATTCAAAAACTTACCAGTCATTTCCTCTAATTGCATTTCTTTAACAGTCTCATTTGAGTTATTTCTTATTACTCTTAGGAACTGTGCTGTTGGTACAGATTTCTTCAGGGCTTCGGGGTGCGCACTTTGGGCATGAAGTAAAGTGTTACGTTCCGTGGCTTTCATGAATAGGCAATACTCAATATTATTCTTCCCAATTCTTAATTCAACATCCAGGTATTGGACTTTATCAGGACTGATGTTGGCTGTCAACTTGATTGGAGTTGATAGAAGGTTTAATTGCTCACCCAGTAATATAAAGCAGTAATATCCCCTTATCAAGTGGCCATATGGTGTTAAAATGTTGTTCTTCTCATATACATACATGTATGCATTGGCATACATGGGGGCCATTGCTGCCCCCATGGAAGGGCCTGATACTTCTAGAAACCATTCATTTTTGAAACGGAAATAGTTATGCTCCAACGTAAGTGTCAAAACTTCCAACACAAATTCAATGGGAGGACCTTTGTAGGCTAATGAATGGGATAATACTGTTCTCATAGCCTCCACCCGTTCACTGTGAGGGATGACCGTGTATAAACTCTTTACGTCCATAGTGATTGTGACGAGACCAATCTCGCCACTGTGCATTGGAGGAGCCTGGATGCCCGCCTGCTGCCTTTAGACTATGCCCCCATGTTGAAACGCTTGATTTTCCCCTGCGGAGACACGAAAGCCGTGTCATTCGGTGCTGGCCCTGTTTGAGCGGTGATACCCGAGATAGCTATGCCATGGAGCCCATTCGTATAATGAAAGACTTTGGCTCCATGGCAATTGAACTGTATGTGTGTGCTCTGAGCGCTATTCAGTAATAATGTGCGCTCAGATCTGAGCTATCTGGGGATATGTTGAATGTACCTGTTTTGTGCAATGGCTGCACAGTTATATGTTTTTATGTGTTTTATTGTCTTTTGCTGCCATGTGTTCAATGGAGTTTTGCCTCTGTCCTTGGAGATAATTGGATTATATCCCAATTATCTCCAGGATAGAAAACTCTGTGGAACTGGTTTTGGGCAGAAAAGCCATGCTTCCTTTGGTCACAAAGGACTACGATCTATCTTTTGAACCACTGGACCAATTTGTATGATTTTGATGTAGGTTTGTATTTGGAGTATGCTGATTCTGTGAATGTGATGCATACTTTTCAAGTTATGAATAATGTGGAAAAATTGTATTTCTCTGCTTGTGATAATTACATTACCCATTGTGTAAGGTAATTGTATCCCAGGCAGAGGGGAGGATTTTGTGTGGGAGTGTCTGAGTGTATTGTATGTGTTTATTGGTTGGGTTCCAAAACCCTGTGGGTGGTACTAATGTGTATATAAGCACAATAAACCGACAGCTCTGTCTGTTCACTGCTTGACCCTCAACACAGAGCTTTGTCTCATTCTTGGGGGGATTTATTGTATGCTGTTCCAGTTTGACTGCTAGGAGTGTAAACCTATTCGTATGGTTTTTCCTATTCGTCTGTTTACAGCATTCGTATGGTTTCCTGTTCGGCGGATTGGTGTTCTGCAGTAGCTGTGCCTGTGTCTCTGGAAGGGAAGATCTACTAAACGGCGGTTTAACCCTTTTATGCCTGGGGGTGCCGTTACAGTGATCAGTATGGGTTTGTTTTCTAGAAACCTGACTTCACTTATTCTTTGCAAAAGTGTTGGCGTGTCCTTTATACAGGTTTCTAATTCTTCAACTGGTCTCTTGAAGAGTGAGTCCTGCCATTTGGCCAGAGGTTCTAAGACCCCATTCATTGCAGACACTATGGGGCATCCCAGAGGTTTTTGTAAGTCTTTATGGATTTTGGGTATATTGTATATGATTGGGCTGCGTGGATGTTGTTGATTTAAAAATTGATATAGTTCAAGGTCTCTAAAGCCCGCTCTTAATCCCATGGAAAGTGTTTCTTGAATTATAGTTTGTATACTTTTAATAGGGTCTCCATCCAGTTTTCTGTATGTGTTGGTATTATACAGTTGTTGTTTTAACTCATCAGCGTAGTATTGGTAGTCCATCAGGACTATCCCACCTCCCTTGTCTGCAGAGCGGATCACAATGGAGGGGTCGTCTCCAAGGTTTTTGAGTAATTGCCGTTGATGCTTGGTGATATTGTGTCGTTTGTTGCCACGTTTAGACATTATTTCCTGAGCATCCCTATTAGTCATAGCTAAGAAAGTTTTAATTGAGGATTTGTTTGTTACAGGGTCAAAAGTGGATCTTAGTCAAAATTTCCCTGTTGCTTCACTATTAGGTTGTGTTGGAACTCTTGACGGTTGATCAAAATAATCTTTTATGCGCATGTTCCTGCCAAATTTATACCATTCGATATTCCATTGGAATCTATTAGAGTTGGCCGTAGGGGCAAGACAGTCCCCGGGTCAATAAGTTGATTTCTCCCTGGACTAATGGCCTTCTGGACAAATTAAATATAGGTATCACTTCCTGTGAGGTGGCTTGCCCCATGGCTTGCTCTTTGGTCTTGTGGACTCTTCTGGTTCTGCATTTTCTTTTCTTTGGCTCCTGGTGGAAATGCCTGTTTTTGGGGCCCCTAAAAAAGGTGAAGGGGATTATGTGTTGGCAAATTCATTATTGTCATTTTCAGAGGCTGATTCACCTGATGTATTATCAATGATGACTATCCGGGGTTTCACAATCCTTCTCCATTGATGTCTTGGTCTACCTAGGCTGCTATCAGATAACCACTATGGTCCAGGTAGTCTTGTTGTACTCATTCAAATTTCTGTTTTTTAAACTTAATCAATTAATTTTTATACCTGAGAAGGTCTTCTTTTAGTTTTTGCTGCAATTTTAGCCCTTCTGCAGAAGCAAGTAACATAGCATGCTCTGTTTCTACTTCTAAGATATTTTGATTGATTTCGATTAGATCTTCTTTCACATCCTTAATGATAATTAACATCATGTCTAATGATGCTCTATTTAAAACCATAGTCCATTCTTTACACACCTTTGCTTTACCTCTACCGATGGTGGGGATGTTTAAAATCCTAAAGCCTCTAGGAATTCTTTTTGCTTTGTAATAATCGGAGAGGAAAAGGCTGTGTAGATCCAAATCAATACGTTTTTTGTATAATTTAGACAGTTTAAATTAAACATCCTTAGCTGTGATATTATAGGGCAATTCCAATCCTGTTTGTTCCCGTACACAGAGCCCAAATCCCACAGCCGTAATTTGTGTGACGACCGCTGGGATTGGACAAACGTTGATGGCGGAGTTCAGATATTTGCCAACCTCATCTTTACTATTCAACAAATCACTCCCACTTAGTGTTATAGAACCTTAGATTGTGCGGGAATTTCAATGCAATCTTTACAAAATACTGGAAAGTAACGCACCCGCTTTTAAAGGTAATTTAAAAAATAATTTATCTAATACGGCTATATTGTCCTAAATTTTAAATTCTGTTTGAATTTCCTACAATTGTCACTTTAGTACATAACCCTGACTCTGTGACTATATGCAAGTTAGAGAAATGTTTCAGTTTGCTTAATTTACCCTGAATTTACCCCTTTGGATTGCATTTAACCCCTTAAGGATGGCGGGCATGCTATTCTGTCCTTGGGAACCCAGCTCTAAACGCCGATGGGCGGCATAGTATGACCACGCCGTCCAGGGGTCTTACCTGCTCGCCAGCTATCGAGATGGGGGGACTTGCCTGGCATCCCAGTCAGTCCCCCTGCGTCTGATCCAGCCCTCCTGGACCATGTGATCTCGAGGTCCTTGCAAGGACCTCACGATCACATGGACGGAATAGCCGTCCATAGCAGAGCCAGCAGGGGGACTGACTGGAATGGCGGGTAGTCCCCCTGCTGCCTGTAATAAATTAAAATAAAGTTAAAACACAGTGTTAAATAAAATAATATATACTTAGATCATATATATCATATATATGATCTAAGTATATATACACTTACACATACACTAAGTGTATTTTAATAATATATATCTAATTATATATATTAATATCAAAATACACATAGATTATATATGATTATATATAATATAAAATAAATATATAAATACGTAAAAAATTAAATAATTTTTTTTAAAAATGTGTAATTTTGTTCTAACCATATTTTAAAATAAATATGTATATTGATATCAAAATACACTTACAACGAAATAATATATATCTATATACAAAAATATATATGTATATATCACTATATATATATATAAATAAAATACATTTTTAAAAATTATATATATATTTGTGTTCGGGGCTATATGGAATATATGAAATAAGATTGTAGTTAGCAAACCTGAGATAGGAAAAAGTCGGTTGAGGTGTGCCGAAACCGACGTATGCTGTAGGCCGGTAAATAAATTGGGCCTACATTAGAAGTGTATAGTGAATAGAGGGAGTAGAGGGGCGGTAGCAGCTCGATAGGCCAATCATGTTATGGTAGGGAAAGGGGGAGTCCCTTTTGAGGTCCATACACCCCTCCCATAACTTCAGGCCAAGCCTTCCAATTTGTGTTCGGGGCTATATGGAATATGATATGAAATAAAATTGTAGTTAGCAAACCTGAGATAGGAAAAAGTCGGTTGAGGTGTGCCGAAACCGACGTATGCTGTAGGCCGGTAAATAAATTGGGCCTACATTAGAAGTGTATAGTGAATAGAGGGAGTAGAGGGGCGGTAGCAGCTCGATAGGCCAATCATGTTATGGTAGGGAAAGGGGGAGTCCCTTTTGAGGTCCATACACCCCTCCCACAACTTCAGGCCAAGCCTTCCAATTTGTGTTCGGGGCTATATGGAATATGATATGAAATAAAATTGTAGTTTGCAAATCTGAGATAGGAAAAAGTTGGTTGAGGTGTGCCGAAACCGACGTATGCTGTAGGCTGATAAATAAAGTGGGCAAAAAGGAAATATATATCATAGCAACATGAAGCCCTGTGTTGGCCACTGAAGGTGAATTACGGTGGCCTCAGGAAGTCGTAAAAGGTCAGCTAATAGCAGTTTCAGAGTTAGTGAGGGATTTTAAGGTGGCTGAATCTAGCACATTAGACAGGTTTGGATATCCTTAAGTATAGCCAGATTGGATAGGATGTAGGAAAATGGCTTTATTGGAACGTAGAGAACCACGTGATGTTTGATGACAGTCAGGCGTAGTTTGATGGTATAGTGAGATAGCCTAAATTGAAGGTGGCAAAATAAGATAGCGAACATAACCAGAGACATAATAACCAACATTATGCATTGAAGGACGACTTACCTTTGGAATAGGGAATAGTAAGGGAAAGACCTGGTGACAGCAACTGCTGGGAGACCACGAAGTGATACCACTTGAAATACCTTAGAATCTGGAGGAGTAATAACGTGTCCATTGAAATATGGGAATCTGCCAGACACGTGAGACCTACGAGGGCTAAGGAAATAGCTGTAAACTTGTAAGTGACAACCAATATATACTTTGTGACCACTTGAAGAGTAACACAAGTGACTTAGCCTAAACCAGGTGGCCTGAATGTGAAAACACCAGTCGGTGATGTCAGACTTAAACTGACTAGTATTAAAGGACCACTATAGTGCCAGGAAAACATACTCGTTTTCCTGGCACTATAGTGCCCTGAGGGTGCCCCCAGCCTCAGGGTCCCCCTCCCGCCCGGCTCTGGAAGGGGGAAAGGGCTAAAAACTTACCTTTTTCCAGAGCTGGGCAGAGAGCTCTCCTCCTCCGATCCTCCTCCATTCCTCCTCCTGGGCTGAATGCGCACGCGCGGCAAAAGCTGCGCGCGCATTCAGCGAGTCGCATAGGAAAGCATTTACAATGCTTTCCTATGGACGCTTGCGTGCTCTCACTGTGAAAATCACAGTGAGAAGCACGCAAGCTTCTCTAGTGGCTGTCAATGAGACAGCCACTAGAGGGAATAGGGGAAGGCTTAACCCATTGATAAACATAGCAGTTTCTCTGAAACTGTTATGTTTATTAAAAAATGGGTTAACCCTAGCTGGACCTGGCACCCAGACCACTTCATTAAGCTGAAGTGGTCTGGGTGCCTAGAGTGGTCCTTTAAGGCTTATGGCCAATTATACTAATGCAGAAATCCGGGAAAGTAAGTGAATCGTGAACCTGTCACATGTATAAGCCCCTGTGCCTGAAAATAATGGAATAGCCACGCTTCCTATAAGGCGAACTAGGCATCCTTTGCACATATACACAGAAACACACAATGCATCCCTTACACACACATGCAAACACACACTGCTTCTCTTACACACACACAGAAACACAATGCATCTCTTACACACACTCAACGCACCCCTTACAGACACACACACGGCATCCCTTACATACACAGAAACACACTTTGCATCCCTTATGCATACAAACAAAGATTCACACAATGCATCCCTTACACACAACAAGAAACACACAATACATCCCTTACACAAACACTCACTGCTTTCTATCCCTTACACACAAACACACTGCTTCCACTACACACAAACACACTGCATCACCTACACAAACTGGTATCCCTATACACTACATTCCATAAGCACACACATTAGATCCTCTACAATAACACATAACACATCCCCTACACACTCCACTACCTGTGAGCGAACTCATGGGTGGAACATGTAGGTGGACTTATGGGTGGGCTTTATGGGCATACTCACCGTCAGGCCCCGGGGCTCAGACATTGAGCTGTGTAAGGGGCCCCCAAAAAATGGAGCTGCTTCCCGTTCTCCCACATTGAATTTTGGGACCACAGTTACAAACAGCCTCCAGAGATCCTGTTCTACACCAGACCAGTGGGGCCAGACTGCAGCCAGAGCCCATCACCATCCTCATCTGATTGTAAGTAGGCAATCTAGTATATTATTAGTGACACTAATCTCTAATTTACCTCACATTAAAGGGACACTATAGTCCCCAGAACCACTGCAGCTTAATGTAGTGGTTCTGTTGTCTATAGTTTGTCCCTGCAGGCCTTTTAATGTAAACACACACTGTGTGCAGCACTGGCGTTAGTTCATATGGCAGATCATATGGGTGGGGCATTGTGATGTCACTGGGGGGTGGGCGGCAAATCTTTCTTTTGCCTAGGGCGGCAAAAATCCTTGCACCAGCCCTGTAGCCAGGAGACAGATGAACGTGGTGATGTAGATGAACGTAGTGATGAAAGTAGATAAGTGCTTAATATGGCGAGGGCCAAGTTGACCACCCAACGTATATATAGTTGAATTAATGGAGTAGAAAGGGTTGAGAAGCGGCCAAGTATCACTACTGTAGAAAACCTCCTTAGCTTAAGCCCCTATTGTCGGTATCAATAAGGATATACAATTAAAATATCTACAAGGACCATGACAAGTCAAGCTAACAAGTGTATGAGGAGCCAATCAACCCATAATACATGTAACTAAACCATAGTAAAACTAAGCCCTTTAATTATATTTGTGAACCCTGTGTGTGAGTCCCAGTTGGGCTTGACATGACTGATCCAGTCAATAGCGACACTTAACCGTGTTGGGGGCCAATACCTAAAATGGGAGTCGATATGATCCCATAAGGGGCATTATACCATGAGCTGAAGTAGCCCTCACCGTGAAGCTACGTATTACTGAATTACTGACTATGATAGTTGTTAACCCCGAGAGAACAAATATACCGTTAGTAGCCACCGATTAATTCAGCTATGGCAGGCCATGGTGACTTCTATGAGTATGAGGTAGGGCCGGCTCAACTTAAAGATGATATATTTCGTATAATAATGAGGTCACAATGGATCTGAGAGGTGTGGCGTCACATCTTATCTATTCCTTAATTCACCTATTAGTGTAACAACTTTCAGACCGAAAGTCAGATAGACTGACAGAAAGTCAATATCCCTTGGATATCTGAACATATAGGTATGCTTATGGAGGACCTTGTGAGGGTCGGCGTGCTTTTGATGGCATGGTTCGACAACGTATTTCTAGTCTTTCCAGTCTCATCTATTTACCCTTAGAGAACATGAGGGCTGAGAACGTTGCTTGGCTGTTGTTGTTGCCCGAGCAACTCTTGCCTCCCACCGCATCAGCCTTTCCGTATTGGTACGTGTGAGACTGAACAGTTCAGTTTCTCGGCTGTTACTGGCCAATGAACGTTGCATCAGCGTAGTTTGCCTGAATACGAGGCATGGTCCATGACCTGATGGAACCCGATAGGTGTCACCTTTCCGTGTAGGTGTATTGAACCAGACTGGAGTACTAGGGGTTGATAAGTCAACCTTTCAAGTTTTCTGAAACATACTGCAATATATTAATAATTAGCTTGAATCAGGATTGTCTTACTGGCTGGCCAGCTAGTGCCAAGTGGCGAAGCAATTTACTAGGTCGTTGATAGTTGAGGCCCTACTAGTTGCCAAGTGGCTTGAGAGGCTCTATCTATGCTTTGGCGCGAGGGGATTCGTGGCCACCAAACCTTGTGGCAGGTTGCTGGCCTCTTGGTGACATTTAAATTCTGAGATAGATTGGGTGTGCGAGGCGGCTAACTATGCTTGGCCCGGGGGGCGTAATACCTCATGCGTGGAGGATGGGTGTTGGCCTTGTGGGACCACTAACTCTAAGGCAGGGATGCCAAAAACTTAATATCTATTGGTCACCTAGATCCCTATAAGCCAGCAAAACCTACTCACTAACAAGGTCTATATTGCAGAGGGTGGGGGAGCCATCGTGGCTAAAACATACCTGGAATTCATATACGAGTCTGTGTAGTTCTGTATGGTATGGTTGTAACTGAAATCTTCAGTATCCCCTAAAGGAGGTGGAGAGGGGAAGAAGAGGTCTAACCTATGAAAGAACCATAAGTGACCAATGGGTGAGAGGTCTGAGAGGCAAATGATGCTCTGAATCGATAACCTGTAAACAGGGCCGTCTTTAACACAGGGCAAACGGGACAGCTGCCCTGGGCCTAGTTACTCCTGGGGGGCCTAAGGCAGCTGCCCTGTGGGCCCACAACAATTTGGAGGGGCCTATCAGGTGGCCCATGCATTTAGGGCCACCCGATGGGTGTCTCTGAACAGGCACCCGGTGGGGTGCCATGGCCCTTTAAGAGCAGACCGGGCCCCTGTAGTATTAGCTGGATGGGAGGAAGTGACAGCGGATCACTTCCTCCCAGCTTCAGAAGAGAGCGTGAGGAAGGAGGCAGCAGCAGGTAGCAGCATGGGGGTTGGGGGGGAGGCAAGAATGAGCTTCTGCTCATTCCCACTCCCATCGGCCTCAGCCAGCTCTAAGCTGAGTTGAAGGTAAGTGTATCCAGTCCCTGATCCTTTCCTTCTGGGTGAATGGCTGCAGCTAGGATAGTTTTTAGAAAAACCACCCCACTCAATGCCCCTGCCCTGCTTTCCCCCACTTACTGCTTATCTTCTCTGTGCCCCCACTTAATGCCCCTGCCCTGCCTTCCCCACTTACTTCTTCTCTTCTCTGTGCCCCCACTTACTGCTTATCTTCTCTGTGCCCCCACTCTCTGCCCCTGCCTTCCCCACTTACTTCTTCTCTTCTCTGTGCCCCCACTCTCTGCCCCTGCCCTGCCTTCCCCCACTGCTTATCTTCTCTGTGCCCCCACTCTCTGCCCCTGCCCTGCCTTCCCCCACTCACTTCTTCTCTTCTCTGTGCCCCCAATCTCTGGCCCTGCCCTGCCTTCCCCCACTCACTTCTTCTCTTCTCTGTGCCCCCACTCTCTGGCCCTGCCCTGCCTTCCCCACTTCTTATCTTCTCTGTGCCCCCACTCTCTGCCCCTGCCCTGCCTTCCTCTACTCACTCCTTCTCTTCTCTATGCCCCCACTCTCTGCCCCTGCCCTGCCTTCCCCCACTTACTTCTTCTCTTCTCTGTGCCCCCACTCTCTGCCCCTGCCCTGCCTTCCCCCACTCACTGCTCCTGCCTTCCTCCCTCACTGCTTTTTTTACCCTGTGCCCCCACTCACTGCCTTTCTACTATGTGCCCCCACTCACTGCTTTTTTTCTGTTTAGATTAGTTTAATTATTGCTGCAGTTGCATTTAAGCACAGGTGATGAGAGGATGAGAAACATAATTGGTGTGTATTTTTTTTGTATTTTATATTTAAATTATTTTTTTTGTTGTGCATTACATATAACAGTACCAGCTTGCCTTGCCACAGCAGCATCAGCATTTACAAACTTTGTGCCAACTCCAACTCTCTTCTCCTGCCCTGCTGCAAACATAAAAATTATCACATGTATGTCAGTGTGTGTATCTGTGTGTATGTGTGTGTAACTGTGTCGGTGTTTATCTGAGTGTTTATGTGCCAGTGTGCAGTGTTTATGTGCCAGTGTGCATATCAGAATTTGTGTGCATGTGCCAGTGTGTGTATCTGTGTGTCAAGGTATGTGCATGGGTCAGTATGTTTATATGTGTGTTGATGTGTATGTAACTGTGTATGTGTATACATCCCAGCAATCAAAAACAACATGCAAACACATCCCTGATAACACAAACATTACAGACAAACACACCCCTGATTTGAAACTCAAAATTATATATAAAACACACCCTTTACCCAAGCACCAATACTATACACAAATGTTTAGAAGACAACACTACATTCTATAACAACCCTGAAGGCAAATATTACATACAAACAAAACCCAGTATTAAAATGCCAAAATAATATGCATACACCAACTCACAGTTGCACACCTGCATTTAAAAGTCAACCATACATACAAACACACACACACCACTGCATTCAAACACAAACACTACACACAAGTACACCTTTGCATTCCAATTGTAATAGTACATACAAATACACCTCTACATGCACACATATACTCTATACAAAAACAGGCTTACATTCAAATGCACAAACACTGCACACAAATACAACCCTACAAGGATGGGCAAAGTATAGATCCCCAGCTGGCATAGCATTGTGGAAGTTGTATGACAGATGGGGATGTATCTTTTCGCCACTCTTGTGCTAGAGGGGGAGGCCCAAACAACTTTCTTGTACCAGGGCTTCTCTGCATTAGTTCCGCCACTGGGTTGGAGTGTAAGGCATGATTGCATGCCAGGGAGTGGGAGGGCAGCAAGGTCCAGGGGGCCAAAGCAAATGCTTGCCCAGGGTCCAATCACTATTAAAGACGGCCCTGCCTGTAAAATGAAATGATTCGATAAGACATAAGGAAAAGAATATTGGCAGGACATCGTGAGTATCCCCCATGTACCCTCCCCATGTACCGGCCTGTGGAAAGCCACCGGACAAAATATCTGCAGACAGGAACTGTAGTGTTTTAACCATGCAATCAGGGAAATCACTAAATATGATTAGACATACCACATAAATATTTTTGTAAGTAAACCATAGACTGTGCAGCAATGCATGTGTAAATATAGACATAGTGGCCCAAGGCCTATGTTCTATCGTAACTCCTCTACTATGCCGTATTGAAAGTCACTTAACACGATAACGACCTTTGGGATCTGAGAATTGAATTAGTGGGCAATTCTCACTGTTTACTATTATTATCCCATAAATATCCCCACAGTTGTGCATGTAGCTAAGACATGTTGGTGATGAGATGGTAGAGAACCTGATAGTTACGAATAATCATCCGGTTTATGAGATATACGTATGTACTGAGCCCCAATCACCGAGGTATTGGAAGACCAAATCAAAACGTGAACCGAGGCCTCTAGAATGTCCCGGTGGCTGAACAGGCTAGAGGCCATGATGGGCGTACCTAATACCTAAGAAAAGACAGGAGATATAAGACATACATTAAAAAAAAACCTACACCTGGAATGCTTAGGAGGCTGATAAATACACAGCTTGCACAGAAGATTAGAGTTGAAAGCAACTGGAAATGCTAGAAAAATGTTAGAATATCTCCGTAATATCAGCATCAGATATAAAACTTCATTGCTAACTGCACATGACTGAATGATACTCCTAAAGCGTGTAGCCGTACAAAGAAAGTCTGGTGGTGTTAGAAAGTGAGGGAATGCAAAAGCAGCAGACACGAGAACCTTATGTCTAGCCAGCTGTATAAAATTATACCCCAATAATAATTACACAATTTAACTATGCCCGCTGTCCCTTGGAGCATATCTACTAACCAGTAAATTTCAGACCAAATTTGGCCAGATGAGTACCTGAATAACCAGAGAGCAGTCAACATAAAGTGTAGATGACTAACTGAAATGCCTATAATACTGTTCATATTTGAGGTCATTTAGTAAGAAGATTTTAAGCAGCTATTTAGCAGATATTCCCCCTTTACAGAACTAGGGGATTTACATTTACTGCAATCTACTCAGCAGCCGATATAGGGCAGCTATGCCAAGTACGAGAGAAAAAAAAATGACCAAAGTTTGCTTTACTAGAAAAATTGCCATATCAGAATGGCTGAACATTTACAACAATTAGCTGAATGTTATGCTAGCACAGGCATACCAGAATTAAGTAATGCAACCAAGCCATAAAATAACACAACTGACTGATCTGCACGTGTTACAAAAGGCAGAGTTATAAGCCACATGCGAAAAGTGAAATTTGGCCAGTGTTGGACTAACCATGAGAAGGGAAATAATTGTGTATGAGTAGCGAATGACTGTGCAGAACGTGGCACTGAGTGACTAATGTAGCGGCAAGTTTGAATACCAGCGAGATATTCATGTGGTGATTCCCTCCGTGTGTGACGTGGTGCTGGCAGTGATACAGGACCAGGTAACTATGATGGGAGATCTACCCCGGACATGCATATCCCGTTTAGAAGAGTGGTGCCAGCCCACACACAAAAACTCACGGTTTGACTGGGTCCCGGAAACGTGGGATCGAGAGGATGAGTCCGGTAGAGGGGATGAGTCTGGTAGGGGGTACCCGTGGCCTGTGTAGACACGGGACCTGGAGGCTGGGGATCTCGAGGTAGCCAGAGGAGGGGTACCTGCGTTGAGATACTGGTCGGTGACCTCCCGCTGCTGTGACGCGAACCGGAAGTGGTCCTGGCTGTGAGCTCCCGGTTTGGATCGGCAACCGACCGTCCCATGGATCAGCTAAGCGGTTGGTGAGGCCTGGAACAAGGTTGTCCGGCGGAGTGAATACCGCGATCAGGTACCCACACTGTAAACCCGGAAGTGAATGTCCGATCTGCCCAGCAGCTCGATAGGCCAATCACGTTATGGTAGGGAAGGGGGGAGTCCCTTTTGAAGGTCCATACGCCCCTCCCACAACTTCAGGCCAAGCCTTCCAATATATATACACTCTCACACACACATATATATATATATTTGTGTACGGCACATTACGAGGACATAAGGCAATGATAGTAAAAGAAGCAGTACTAGTAATAGCAAGTCAGTTGAGGTGTGCCAAAACTGACGTGAGGTTAGGCCTGTAAAAGAGGGCCCACCTAGGAGAATTGTTAATGAATTGAGGGTGTGGTGGGAGGGCACTTCCGGAACGTTGATGACAGGTAAGCTGGGCTTATTGCGCTTTCTATAGGGAATGTACCTCCCACAATTACAGGCCAAGCCTTCTATTTGTGTACGGCACATTACGAGGACGTAAGGCAATGATAGTAAAAGAAACAGTATAAGAAGTAGCAAGTCAGTTGAGGTGTGCCGAAACTGACGTGAGGTTAGGCCTGTAAAAGAGGGCAAAAATTATTAGAAGCGATTACTCAAAACATAAGTTAATTTAAGTACAAACATTATTTAGACATGTCATGGAAAGCCATTCTTATTTCTTTTTCAGTGTTAGGAATGTACCTATTGTATGCTGATGATTTCCATCTACCCATGTTTTTGATGATGTGTGCTGGTACGTGGTTCCCTGAGGCAGCTGAAGCTGCACCAATGCGAAAGGAATGACCCGTGAATGCGTGTGGGTTATGTCCTAGCCGGAGCAATAATGTACGAATGTAATACATAAATTGTTTAGTGGTTAGTGGTTTCCCTTGAATAGCTAACAGTGGACAATCTGGGTTGGAAGTGATTTGGGACATCAATAGTTTATCTAAAACTAGGATAGGACACCATTTGGTAGAGGTAGGATAGTATTTCATTTCTACCGGAGGACCTGTTTGGCTTGTTTTGGTATGGGTAATGGATAAGATGTAGTGGTCTTGTCTTTTGTTTAGGTGTTACTTTTGGAGGCAAAGCTTAGAATCAGTTGCTTTCTCCACTGAAAATTCTTTGGGTCTCAAAAAACCCATAGAAAGCTAAGTAAGCTGCTGATTTTATAATTAGGTTTGTGACGTGTTCAAAAGGGGACGTGTCAAGGATATCGGAGATACTTTTAAAGAGTTTACTGTCTATGGGAAGTCTCTTGATGGGATTGTGTGCTGATAATCTGTGAACACCTCTTTGGACACTTTTTACTGGGTAGGACGTTAGGAATGGGGTTTTGTTGGGATGGTAGGTTAACCTGTTAAGTAGAGTTTGATAGTGTTGTAGGCTAAATTAAGATTAATTAATGCAACACCAGTTTCAACAGAAAAGACAATTATAATACGATTATCACGAACAAAATCTTTAAACAACTTGTATGCTCTAGAGTAGGCTTTCCTTGTATTAGTGGATAAGCGAGAGATCTACTATGTTGTAATAGAGAACTTAAAGCATAATTAGTTCTGTGAAGCTTGGAGATCCCATGGGTTGCGGGTTTGCTGATGGGTGATACCTGAAAAATTCCTGCAAATTCAAGCGTGAGAGCATCAGCAGTGTTATTTTGAACACCTGGAACGTGAAAACATGTTATGCAGAATTGCTGGTTAGCCGCTAGCCAGGTCAGTCTCCTTATTAATTTCATAATCGTTAGGGACTGAGAGCGGCCTTTGTTAACTATATCACAGGTAGCTATGTTATCCGAAAAGCATCTGACTGACTGTCCACTCCATTCTTTACCCCAGAGGTGTGTAGCTGCTACTATAGGATAAATTTCAAATAGAGCTGAGGTGGTATTGAAATTTTTGAGTGAGATGGTCTCAACTGGCCAAGAGTCATATAGCCACTCATCACCAAAAATGGCTGCATACCCTAATGCACCTGAAGCATCGGTCCAAATTACAGGGGAATCGTCAGATATGGGTGGAACAAATAGCGACCTGTCAATCCAGGATGATAGGAACAGCTGCCATATTTGTAGATCAGCTCTAGCTGATTCGTTTAGGGAAGTTGTGGAGTCGTCGTCGGGGAGGCCGTGCAATAGTGAGAGGATTCTGGAAATGAAAGACCTACCCTGAGGAATTATTCTCATAGCAAAATTTAGTGAACCGAGTAGTGACTGTAGTTGTTTCCTTGTGCAAGTGCCTTGTGACGTACAAGTGTTTATGTAAGAAAGTATCCGGTCTACTTTCTCTTGAAGCAGGCTGGTTTACATAGAAACTGAATTGAGTGTAATACCCAGGAATGTAATCACCGTGTTGGGACCTTCAGGTTTTTGTCTTGTGCAACGGGGACTCCTAAGTCTTTGAAAAGAGTGAGCATGTGAATAAGGCTGTGGGGTGTGTGTTGGTGAGGTTCGATGGTGAGGAAGTCGTCTAAGTAATGTATGACTACTGGACATCTGCAAGAGTTGAGTAGGAGCCAGGTTAAAGTTTTGGCAAATATATCGAATAACCTAGGGCTACTTTTGGATCCGAAGGTCAGTCTTGTAGCGAAATAGTAGCTTCCTTCCCACTTAACTCTATACAGATGCCAGAGTGACTGGTGGATGGGGAGCAGTTTAAATGCGTTTGTGATGTCAGATCTACTTAACCAAGCAGCCTTCCCGGCATGAAGGATTGCTTGGATGGCATCGTCAATTCTGGCGTATTGCAGGGAAAAGTCACCTGACAGGATCAGAGCATTAAGGCTAGTTGTAGGGGATGGGTGTGGTGCAGAGAAGTCAATAATCAGTCGCTTTTTATTGTTATATTTTCCTGTGGCGATTCCTAGTGGGTTTGTCCTCCAGGAAGTGAAAGGAGGAGTAGAGAAAGGGCCTATCATAAAACCATTTGTGATTTCTTTCTGTAATAGTTCGCGTATGCTGTCTGGATCTGTGAGTGCCAACTGTAAGTTGGGGCATTCTAAAACCTCTGTGGGGAGTGACACGAACCCTGTGTGGAACCCATTAGTGAAACCAGCCGTGAGAAATTCAACCAAATGAACAGAAGGATGATTAGACAGGTAGCGTTGCAACTAAGGTACGTTTATTGGTGTGGAAGATTTGTTAGGGTACAGGCTGTTGGGGCACATGGTTTTGGCATGTGCTCTAAAACACATTGAGTATACGTGCAAAAGCCTGCAAGCACTATAACTGCAACCACCTGTATTAAAATTGTTGCAGACTTGTGCTTTACCTAGAAAAACAATAGGCATACCAAGTTTGTCTCTCACTTCCCTCTGTGTTGAGTTGGATTGGTAACCAGTATTAGCGCTACTGGTAGAAGGGGACGCTACGTTTACAGGACAGAAATTTACTGAATGAGCAGCAGAAGAGCATCTAGCGCAGGAAGGGGTTTTAAGGCCTGCAAAATGCATCAGAAACAATTCTGTGTCTAGCTGTGCCCAATCAGTAATCGTTTTGTACTGGGAGAGAGATGCAGCGGATCTGGAAGAAAATGACTCATGATAATCATAAAATGCATAGCCACCGTATATGTATGCTAACTCAACCACTTTATGAAGGTATAAGTCAAGCTCCTCTCTACGTAGTGGGAAAGCTGTACAGATCACATCTCTGTACAAGCCGAATGTGAGGACAAATTCGGGGATATTGAGTTTCCTATTTAGTCAAGGATCTCTAGACTTCATCACTACTGACAGATCCTCGAAGGTATAGGCCCTGTTTTTTACCACATCTTGAGAAGCAATCAGTAGTGATGCCAAGTTTATGTCCTTCCCCTCTATAATGTCTTCTTAGAGACTGAGGAATGAGATGAATGGGGTTAATGATATTATTAGCTCTACTAGCGTTAGGTGTGGGCTGAGTAAAGGGCACAGGAATCTCTGGAACGGTTGTAATATTGTTTGACTCCAGATTATCCAATCTGTTGTTAATAGTTGCTACTGAGGAAACAAGGGAAGCCATCATGGTGTGTAATTATGTAAGGCTATTTTGCACATTGAAATCAGAACTAGGGCCTGGCCTTTCGTTATCTTCAGTAATATTTAACAACCTAAATAGTTCGGCTTTCCTGGCTGTAGCCGGGAAAGGAATATTCCTCTTTTTAAGTTCTGAGGTGATTTTAGGGATAGTCCAGGAACGATAGCTGGAAGCTGGACTTGGTGGATTGGGTCGTCTCTGCGAGCCTGATCTGAGTGGGGTGCTGGCCACCGACAAATCATCTCCTTGTGTGGAATCGTTAGACATGCTATGGAAGTGAGGCAGATGGATAAGGTTAGTATGGTACCGTATAAATCGGTGGTGACCCCGCTTACTAGGCTAGTGCCTACTGGCGAAATTGTATTAACTAGCTTAGGTTGGTGACAGGTGAAGCCCTGACTATTTGCCAAGTGGCTATTAGAGGCTCTACTTATGATTTGGCTTGTGGGGCCTTTGTGCCACTGAGGTGGGTGGCAGGGTGTTGGCCTCTCGGTGACGCTTAACAGAGTGTAATAACGATTGGCCGTGACGGGTGAGGCCTTAATTATGAGTTGGTGCAAGGCTCTAACTATGAATTGGGACGATTGGGCATGAACCTCTGAACTTAGTGGTTGATAGTATGCCTTGCGGGACCACTTAACTGCTAGGTGAAGAGGCCTATGGGACCTTACCTAACTTGGCGAGAGCTTAACCTACTGGTGACCTTGCCTGGGTTTGACAAGGTATACATACGTGATAAAAGACTTGTCTGATGTATATTGACGTGGAGAGAATAATCCTTACTTGCCCTAAAACATTTCACAAATTTAGATTACCACCTAATCCCTGGGTTTGGCGGTGATAGCCAGAACTCTAACAATATAGTAGTTGCGTTTAACCACAAATTCAGTTTGTACGCTGTGTCATAAATAGTGTTTCTTAACAGAGGGGAGAAACATATAAGACAATGTCATTTAAACAATATTGAA